CTTTTCAGGATTGAGAGTCCGGCTGCAACTGTCATTCTAAGCGTGGCCTTTGTAGCAGTCTCGTTTATATGAGCTCCGAGTCACCCGAGTCTTGTGTAGGAATTGACGATGAGATCGCATGCGGCAAGCCTGAAACGAGCAATTTAGCTTTAGAAACAGCTGCGTTCACGTCCATTTTCTGTCAACGCAACTTTGTTCTATCAACAAAGTGGGTGAGGTAAAAAAGCAGTAAGGCAAATTCTGCGCAATTCTGCCTAGGCTGCATATGCTGCAAATTTTCGCGTGCGGCTACCAAAGCCCCGTGTAGCGTCCACCGAAACTCAATGTAGTTCCGTCAATAGGAATGGAGGAGGGCTCCAGCAGTGTTTAGAATTGAACCCGGCCACAATCTAATCGATGTGATTTTAAATGCCACTTTTTGGCGTCTGATATTTCCAGTTCTTGGACGACACATTCACCTGTCGATGTTGAAAGATTTCAAACTGTCAGTCATCTTTTTTAGAAGCCGTGCACAAAAAATTTAACCTTGTTAATTTACTTGCTTAGGAGTAACTTGTTCTGGAAATTTCCTATTTGACGAAATGAATTGTTTTGATTTTCTATATATTTTGAACCACAGCTCACCTTTTAATATTTTCCTGATGTTTATAAATCATAGAGGATGCGCTTTTCTAGAACATAGTCATGGCTCGCCTGGTGTTAGGGCTCACGGGATCGTGAAGGAGATGTGGATCACAGCACAGCATATGCGGATAGCGTACTACGTGAGTAATTACTGAAGATTATTAACCTTCTTAAAAGGAGATATTTTTGACCATGAGGCAGGGCTAAATTAACGTATTGCTTTTGAACGAAATCATATTTGTCATAAAATGCATACAAACGCATTTATATAAACTTATGAAATATATAGAAAAGGGTTCTTATGAAAAAAAAGGATTTGACTTTGATTTTTCCTTTAGGTGGATTGCCTCCCCACCAGAAGACCACTTCGTATCAAGAAGGAGTTAACTGTGAAGTAGGCTTCATACTAAACCATACTTTTAATATAAGTTGATCTTTTTGTTTGGCGAAATACTCAGGAACTTTGCTCTATGAGCCATGATTTTTGGTGCATACCGAATACTAGACAGTTACACTGGATAATTGACACCAAAACAGATCGAGCCGCCAATAATATTTCATTCAGAACGGTTAAACAACATGTTTTCTTTGC